CTAACAGGACCATAGGAACTAAATATTTTATAACAGGGCAAATTGCATATAAAACACCTGTACTGTGGGGGTGTAACCAACCTCATATTGACCTTGGATAACAAAAATCCATCATGCATGTACAAAAGTTCTGTCCTATGTGAATGTTCTTATGGTAAGTCATCAACTATAACTTTCTTTCTTCAGATAACATAATGAATACAAGCAACATATTGTTGTGTTGTTCCAATTAAGTGGAGATCCTATAACAGGCAAATTATTTTTCAGTAAAGGTATTACAGTACTTCCATTGAACTCAGGTTTTCTGCTCTGACACGTAAAATAAAAGGCATACAATTTTAATTTATGTATGTGTCACTGCTTCTTGATTTCTCTTTATGGCAGAGCAGCCTTCAACACAAATCAGAAAGTATGAATATGAACTATACCATGAATTATTGGAAATTGTTGCTAAGAGTGTTAATGTCTTGGAAAAAGAGTCTACACTTCCCTTATTTTTTTTCTATGAACTTACAAGTTTAAAAAGATAATAAAGTAGATATGTAATGCAATATATATAATAACAAACTTGTCCGACACATATCAATTGCTTTGCAGGTAACAGCTTACCCTATCTGCCATCAAGACACATCAATTGAGTGAACTTTGCTCATTGTAGTTTTTCAATAAAAAATAGTTACGGCACCAAAGTTCATGCTAGTTTAGTGAAATTTACCTTTAAACAGTACTACAAGACATCAATGCACTTTAATCCATTGATCAGATTTTTGTCAAGTTGTTTTGGTTTGCATACTGACATGACTCAGTAATTAACAGCAATCCAAGTTATTGCTTTTTATTGCTTTATATAATTTTGACATAGAAGGACAAAGTTTATTAGGTCAATTATCCATATCTGTTACAGATTTGACTTTTTTTGGGTGCTTAAATAAGGCATATTCTATACCAAAATAGTTTTGTCAAATGTGTTTATGTTGCACTACCCCTTCAGTTGTTACTTTAAGCTACTGCCTTGGTGAATATGAAATCATTTAAGCTCTGTTTCTCTGAATCATATCACTACCCCCATGCTGTTGTCACCTCCTATCTTTCATTTTACTTCTTTGTATTGCATATTATGCATATCTTCTTCCTGCTAGTAATGTTTGTTCTAATTGATCTTTGCAGGTGGATCCACAAGATATTGTTATGGTATGTACTTATCATGCATGATTTTCATTGTCAATAAGTTATCATTAGTCAATAATCATAGGAGTCTGAAATTTATATTTAACTCCATGATGTGGACACTGCACATCATGTTGTTTTTGAAGAAACTTTTATCTTTGACATTCCATTGAAATACTGGAAACTGTTCTAGCCCTTTGGCTTAGAGTAAAACATTCCTTATATTAACACATTAATGCCAATAACAAAACACATATCTCAAGGATACCTCCAAAACTACCTTGTCAGAATAATGGAATTTAATTCTAATGTGGCTTTCTGGCATGCCATTTTGTTTTAGAGTTTGGCTTAACTATCAAATCGAATTTGCAAGCGGTCCCTTGGTAGCCATGAATGTTGGACCTCTTTTGCTTCATGGCTTCCCCTTCAGCTACTCCTTTCTTTTCATGATTAGTCTCCCGTATACGTCTAAATTGCAGGCCTGGGAAACAAGAATGACCACATGTGAACAAATCTCTCTCTCTCTCTCTCTCTCTCTCTTTCTCTCTCTCTGTGTGTGTGTGTGTGTGTGTTGCTCAGTTGAATCACTAGAGTCTTCTTTTCTGTCAAGTTAATAATTCTCTACTGCCTACTGCTTTCCTTTACTTTAACCTAGTTCTCACTCCTTTTTCATCTTTATAGCATCTACTAGCCATTGCCTTATGTCTTTGTTAAAACATATTTGAACAAACTACAACTCCTTTAAACTGCGTTATGTCATCCAATCTTTAGAATTTGTCTTCTGCTTATTAAACACTCTCTTACTATGCACATTTATTCATAAAGAAGGAAGATGCTTGGTTGTTAACTGACCATTGGGAGATTTTAAGAGTGATTGCTTATTGATAATGTCATAAACCACGACCTGGCCATGATTGTTGAAACCTTCTTAATTTGCATGATGATTGCCAATCATAACAACTTCCCTCTACCCCTAGGCAGTGTGTCCATTCCTGTTGGACGCAGCCCGCATGCCTATTTAAGTATAAGACTTAAAACTTTATTCATCTCAAAACTTACAAGAGCTAACTTTAATCCATGATCCTTGAACCTTCTTAACTTGCACGATGGATGCCAACCATAATAAACCCTCTCTATCCCTAATCAGTATGTCTATTCATGTTGGACATAGCGCAGAAGCCTATCTATGTATAAGACTTACAAGAGATAAAATTCTATTCACCTCAAAAATACGAAAGGAAGGTTATGCTCGCTTGTTTTTTCTAAATAATAAATTGGTGTGTTTGTGCTATGTTTTTGTCAGAATAAATCTCACCCATGTGGTTCAGAACAAATTATTTGGAGTTGCTAGTAGGTGGCAGGTCATACTTCCATCAGCAATAGCACCACATATGGTTAGGTGGAGTGAACTTTTTATCGTTAAAAGTTGGAAACTTAAATATCTTGAAAATAAGTAGTTTATCTGTTTCTCATAGCACATGAGACACAATGTTGATGGATCGATATTTCCATATTTCGTTTACTTGAAATGGGGTAATAACTTTTTAAACATGCAAGGAATGTACTTTGTATTTACAAATCTCCAAGCAGATGTCTTGATGTAACATTGTCATTTTATTCTTTCTGATAAGTGATAACATCTTTGCTTCAGTTGGTTGTGTCCTGGCATATGAACGCTGCTACGATGTGTGAATTCTCTCGTCAAGAGTTCATCAGTGGATTGCAATCCTTGGGGTGAGCCCCATGCTATTTATGCTGCTAATTGTCAAGTCTTGAGTCCTTCTGCTAGATTGTTTGGTGTTGTTATAAAGCAGTGCCTCCTGGATTATGATAAAAACTGAAATGTTGTCTGCAGGGTAGATACAATAGAAAAATTTCGTGAAAAGGTACCATCAATGAGGGCTGAGCTGAAAGATGAACGTACGTATGTAACATGCTGATACTTGATTCAATTTTTTCCCCTTTAGCATTTGTTTGAGGCTAATTAAGATGTATTCACAATGAGAAAAGAGTCCAAAGTAAAGAATTGCATTTTATAGTGCTTTGTTGTGTAATAGTGTCTCTATATATGGATCATATTTTTTAAACAAACTTACATCTCTTGTTTTATTCAGAGAAATTTTCTGAGATATACAACTTTGCATTTGGGTGGGCTAGAGAAAAGGTATTATCAACATCTTTTTTCTCTTTGTTCTCCAACTTTACTTGTTTTTATGCTCCTTCAGTTTTTACGGATATTCATGCTATTAAATCTGACCTATCAGGTGCATTATAATGTCAATGATATGATGTTTTAATGCATATAACTGTGTATTGGAAGAAAATTGTTGGAAATGCTTAGTACATGCTGTATTGTTGGCTCCTGATACATCTTCCTAGACTTGGAGTAAAGTGGTCGTCTAAGATTATATCAGACTCCTAGGTGTAAGAGCCTTTCTGCTCGTGAAAAATAAATGGCTATATTTCCCTGCCTTTTGCATTTCCACATTGGAGTCATTTATTCAAATGGATGTATTCTGTCATTTAAGTGGTCTTGCATCTCCTGTATGGGCAGCTTATTCTTCTGTTTAAGCGGCCTCTCGACATCATCTTAAGATTTTGGTTAAATATTTGTCAATCATAAGTAATATTTGTACCCTTGGTCTTCTTGTGTTTATCCATGTTTAAAAAAGCAAAAGTGCAAGACGAAGCGTTAAGACCCTTTTTTAAGAAGTGAGGTGTAAGCCTCACGAGTTGAGTATATTTCAATTTCAAAATTTATAAATCCTATAAACATTGATAATTTGCAAATAGATATAATTAAATATACTAAGTACAGATGTAACTATACAAACTGAGCTACAATGTTAAAAATAACGATGACACATCACACAATGCTTGCCTCTTGGATAGCGTAAAACACAAGTCGCAAGACAATCGTTACACATAATGTAGGTTGCAAGGTTTATCATTTATTAAAATATTTAATTAATACAAATATTCACAATGATTTTAATGAACATAATTATCACAATTTTCAAATATAACATCACAATTATCAAATATATAATTGCAATTTTTCAACCAAATAAGTTATAATTGCTTACAACCAATTCAAAAGTACAAATACTACATGTTTTAAACAAATTATTAAAGAGAATAATACATGATGAAGTCTTAAGGCTTTATATATCATACGAACAAGTAGAATTCTCATATAAATCTGTAACACTGCTTTCATTATTCTAAAGCAACTAAATACAATATTAAAAATAACAATAACGTGTAACTTTCGGTTTGGTCTCTCAATAGCTTAACTTGCATGTAACAATATGCATAATGTTTGTTGTATTTTCTTATTTTTTAATTTAAAAATATAAAATATTTCATCATAGTTTTAACAATGAGGAACATAGTTTCAAAATATTAAAAAATTTAAAAAATTCCTTAAACTTAATACAAGCTTTACTAATATACTAACAAGTGCAAAATAAAATATTCAAATATACAATCAAAAATTTATATCTCACTTATAAGTTAAAACATCACAATTTATTCTTTACGGATCATAAATTCACAATCACAATAATAGGTGTCATGAAAATAAGTTATCAAGGCCTTTCAAACAATTCAACACTAAATATTTAACCATTTCAAGTTTCAAATTTTAACAAAGAAAATACCCTCAATGTTCCATGATAAATTATATTGAAGTAATATAGGTTATATTCCGATAACGTACATCATACTGAAATAGAGTATGCTTTATTGTAATGACATATGAGTTATGACGCGTCTTGTTGTTTCAAAAGGTTACATAATATTTGAAGCTTCTTATGTTAACATAAAAGACAGAATAATGAGTTACATTACGTGTTGTTTCAACAATCCTAAGCTACGTGTGTGTGTATATATATATATATATATATATATATATAATATATATATATACGTGTGTGTGTATATATATATATATATATATATATATATATATATACACATAGGTATATATGTATATACACATCAATACTGAGCTATGCCCATCAACGATACTCATGCAAACATATGCAACTCTAACTTGTCTCCTATCATGACGAAACCAACACGAGGCTACACACTCCCAAGAGTCCGGGTTTGCTCAAACCCCACATGTGCACCCCCATGGCCACGCACGTGTATCGACGTGCGGCCCGTGCATTGTGTACGTGACCAAACGTGCGTGGAAGATCAACATACGCAAAACAACATTAAACCAGTCGACTGGCCTTAGGAGTCAGTCGACCGACACAATTAGTTGACTGATATCTCGTTAGTCGACCGAACAACAAGCACTCTCAAATAACAAGTCTCGATCGTTAAACACTAACGCCGTTGGTGAATAGTAATTTCAACGGTGAACAATAACAGTCGGCCACATAGTAAGTGTGCAAAATTACTAAGTCTTAAGCGGTAAACACTAAAGCCGTCGATGAACATTAATTTCTGGCGGTGAATAGTAATTCCGACGGTGAACGGTAACAGCCAACAACACAGTAAAGTGTTCGAAATTACTAAGGTTTAGAAATATCCATGAAAGTGTATGTGTTGGGTTTAGGCACGCACGGACCCTCGTGAGTGCGTGGTCCATGTGTTGAGCTTGTCGCGACGTGGAGGTGACAACTATCGAGTTGCATATGTCAGTGTCACATTTCTGCATAGATGTTGGAGTTAGGTTGAGAGTCACATGATATTGCGATGAGCCACTGGATACTGTGAGCATCGAGACTCTACATCTCTTTTGTTTGCTTGGGTACCGTTGATGGGCATAGCTCAGTATTACTTAGAGTAGTGCGTCGGTACACCACACTGGAGTAGGCCGGTGCACCCACGCTCCGTAGGATACTTGTGTGGATAGTCCGTCCCGCATGGTGATGTGATGAGGCCGATGAGATTATACTATATAGGATGTCCTAGTGGGTAGTCCGTCCCGCATAGTGATGCGATGAGGCCAATGCGCATATACTATGTAGGATGTCTTGGTGGTTAGTCTGTCTCGCATGGTGATGCGATGAGGTCGATACGCCTATACTATGTAGGATGTCGTAGTGGGTAGTCCGTCCCGCATGCTGCATGATGATGCGATGAGCCGCAATATTTTGCGAGCGACTACACTCCGAGTGTGATAGTTCGTGCAGCTGTGAACAGTACACCAGTGGTGAATAATAATTTTTGGTGGTGAACAGTAACACTCGTGGTGAACAGTAACACGTGGTGAACAATAACACTCGTGGTGAACAGTAATTCCGATGATGAATAGTAATTACGACAATGAATATTTATTCTGGAGGTAAACAGCTACACCGGTGGTGAATAGTACTTCCAACGGTGAACAGTTACACCTGTGATGAATAGTAATTTCGACGGTGGACAGTTACACTGGCGGTGAACAATAATTCCGGATAGGATTGGAAAAAGATGAATTTGCCTTTATTGAACTCTGAAATTGAAATCCTTATCCGTTCATTCTCTTCGAATAGCCAAATTTCCCTTTATTTTCCTTTCTTTTCTTCCTCTCTCTCTCTCCCCCCTTCTTCTTGCTTCCCGTGAGTGAGAAGAGAGGAATGAGAGTGATTTTTATAGAGGGTGATGGGTGGAGGGTGAGTGGAAAAAGTTAGGTAAAATTAGGTAAAGTTAGGTAGAGTTAGGTAAAGTTAGTT